ATGATGACTTAGATATAAAGTCATTTAAACCATCAAAATTAGCTTTTTTATAAACATAAGCTTTAAGTGGAGGTTTAGTGGAGCGAAGAAGTTTCAAGTTGATCTCGAAAATTACAGCAAGATGATCGCTCAAGCCGGAAGATGTAAATACATTAGAGACACTGTTTGGATAAGTAGATAGAAGTAGGTCGAGCGTTTTCCCAGATGCAGTTCTAGTTGGAACTTTAACGTGCTGGGATAATGAGTAGTCATCAAGTATGTGCATGAATTTATTATGCTGAGATGCAGTCGCAAGATTGGTTGTAGAAGGAATCTCCTGGTTCCAATCAATATCGCCCAGGTTGAAGTCACCGCCCATGATAATATTGGGGTGGTTTGGAACTCTCAAGAAGGCATTGTTAAGAGAGTCGTCTAAATGGTCAAGTATCTCAGTGGAAGAGTTTAGTGGTCTATAAAAGGATGAGATGTATAATGTCTTCCTAATTGCAATTTTCAGAGAGGACCAAAGGGCTTCGCAACCATCCACATTAAAATTCGGCTCTTCAATACTTGCAAGGTCTGATTTAATTGCTTGAAAGACGTCTCCGCCAAACACGTTTCTATCTCTTTTGAGAACTCAATATGAAGGCGGGAAGATTGAATATGATGAAATATCTGGATTGAGTTTTGATTCAGTTCCCAGAACAATATCAGGATCGTGTAGATCAAGTAGAGCTTGAAATTCAGTAGAGTGTTTAGACCTTTCAAGACCATTACAATTAATTATCATTCTTTTTAATTTTGTTTTCGTGTTGCGCTTCGATGAACTCGTCACTGGATTAGATCTTGGAAAATTATTTCCATTGTCAACCACAGAACCAGACAGAATATCAAAAGAATTTGATAAGTTTAAAGAGCATGAAGACAAGTCCAGAAGCGTAGGTGAGAAAAAACTTGGAAGGTCACAATCAGGGCAAATCCACGAGCATGAAGAATTTGCAAGTGGTTGGTATTCATCATTATTCATCCCCAAACAGCGGGTGTGAATCCAAGAGTCACATGAATCACATTGTATTCCATGTTGATTTGACTTTACTGGTTTTTTACATGAACCGCAAGGATATTTCCAATTTGGGCCAGGATTGGTATCGATATCCCCACAAAGTAGGAGTAGGTTTAGTAACAAATACGACTTGGATCTGACAAACATGGTTGAACATCGCTGGTTGTGATAAGATGAAGCGAAAGCTTCGAAACCTGACAAACAAGTAGATTCAGACTTGATAGTAAGTTCACTCTTGTTATTTGAGTTGGGGGTAGCTGCAGGCGGTCTTGGGATCAAATAAAAGCGGGTAAATAGGCCAATAAACAGAAGAACCAACGGAGCTCAAAAACATACGTCCATCTTCCTTTGAACGAAACCGCACGTCCTATCCAATGTATACTAGTGCGTCAACATCTATTCAACATAATTGAAGTGGATCTACTTAAATAAAATGGTGAACAGGCTACCTTTGAACCAGGCAAAACTACAGTGACTCTTCATTTCAAGCAATATATTGAGGGAAGGAATCTTTATCACTTTACCAGGTAACAGCAGTACCTTCTAATTTCCTAACAATACATCAACTAGTTTTCAGATTCCTTTGCCTTACACCATGGAATCTACTGGAAATTGGGAAGTAGGATTGAGTGGTATCAGCATGCCTGATTCATATTTGAGTATGAGTTCACTGGAAGCCATGAACAAAGTGGAGCTTGGAACGGGAAAGGATTATTATAAAATCCCAATATGGTTCTTCACAGAAGACACATTATCAACTTGATTTCTGCTGAGTCTCTGGGATTGAAAAGATACATGATGGCAGTAATCTATGATGACATTAAAGATGCTAGCATTATCTCAGATGGTATAATCTTAATAAACGTGGTGATAAACAAATACTAAGTTTCCTTGATGCATAGAAGAACAAAATAAATGAATGAAAATTATATTAATAAAGAATGAGATGATTGTCCCTACATGTACATGAGTTGGAACAAAAACTTGGCGTTGAAAATGGGATGGATACGACCCAATCCATCGAAGAAAAACAAGTACGGACTTGGACTGAATCTGATTCAACAAACATACACAGAGGATGGTCAAAATGCCACTTGTTAGTACTTAACTTTTTAACCCATACACTGTATTCATAAATGGCCACTACACAGAGTGGCCTGGATTCAGGCACATGGAAACGAAATTGGAAAGGCCTCAGGAAAATCAACAAAAAAAAAGTGATGGCGTTGCTCTTAGTTGGCAGAAAACAACATTATTCTCACTGAGAATGACATACCCAGCGCTTCCTTGGCTGGGAGAAATCCTTTACCCTTAAAGAATGAAGAATTTAAAGTTTTGGTTAAGATGTCGAAGTGATTCACTTAAGGGACTCAAGACTTAAGTATGCCTTGTGAAATGGTGAGCACACATAAACATGTGGTTGTGGAAATCTTACATTGACAATCTTTGTTTTTATCATAGACTCCAAGAATATATCACGTCTGGTCGAGATAAAATGATAGTTGATCCTTATTCAGATGAAATTTATACTAAAAGAAAGACCAGGCTTTTGAAACTGTTGACTGAACGCTTCCCTGAAACTTCAACCCTGAAACATCCGAGTGATGGATTGGGAAACTCACTGGAAAGGATGCCTCCATTTACCCAGGCAGAAATGAAGCAGCTGATTGAAAGTTCTGGAAAAAGACTAGGAAAAGTGGATCATCATTCTATCCCCACAAACTTGAGGAAGGATGAGTATCTTAAAGATATAGAAGCAAACAGTGATCAAAGGTACTTCTACCTGATAGCAAAATGTTACCACGAAAGAAAGATGCTCCCCACAGTCTTTAATTTACGCTTTACATCATTTCAGGTCAAGTTCTGCATGCCAACTCTTCATGTAAAGCTGGAAACATTGCAACCACGTTTTTGCCTTAATGTTTAGCATGCAAGTTTAGCTTGTATGACAGCAAGAAAACTGATGACCTAAACCAGGAAAATGATGAACATCCTGATTTAGTATGCACTTCACAGCTTCAGAGGTGGCATGCCAAAGGCCATGGTGACAACATCCATCCTCAACCACTAATGGAAATTACTGTTTCCAAAACAAAGCTGGATGAAACAAAAATAAGGGAAGGAGTAAACTCTCTGCTGTTAACTCTCTGCTGTATGGAGCTAGGATAAATCCTAGCCATGACCTCCAGTCAGAAGTGGACCTTGAGAAGACCCTTCATGGTATGAACCCACAGTTCAGTTTATTGCTCTGAGCGGAAAAGAGCAGGGGATTGTATACTAGTTGGAGGTGCGGGACCTGGGTTTAGTACTTGGGTGAACAGTAAAACAAGGATGGCAGCCACCTGAACTTCTAAATAGATGACTCTGTATCTTTCCTGGCCAAAATCATGCCTAAAAAAGTGAGTTACTGCGTTCCTTATTGCTCCAACAACTTCAGAAATAATCCAAGTTTACATTATTACAGGATTCCAAGAGATGGAACCATTCGCAAAGAGTATGTGAGACTATTACGAAATGACAACCTAAGGTTAGAGAGCCAAAATACACAAATTTGTTCCCAGCACTTAGAGGGAGGAAAAAAGCGTGATGGCAAGCATCTGCCTTCTCTCTTTCCCTGGACAACTGAAAAGCCAAAACGCCAAGCACCTAAGAGAATAAGTACTGATCAAGTGCAGGTCAGCAGTAAAAAGAAAAAGAAAAGCCGAGTAGAACATTTGAGTGAAGACTGATCATGGCCAGCTGATCATGAATGATCAAATCCCGTGCAATAAGGAGCAATCTACCGAAAAGTCTCACAATACTACTAGTACTCAAACAGAAACATTTTTAGAAAAACTTGGAGTTGATTTTGGTACCCAGACAGAAACATTTCCGGAAGAACTTGAAGTCAATTCTTACAAAAACAGGATATCTCAGATGGAAGCTGAAATACGAAAGTTGACCATAGAACTGGAGGACATCAAAAAGAAAATGGAAGATGTCCAATTTGATATCCAACAGTTTAAAGATTAACCCAAAGACATTGCTTCTTTAACTGGGTTTTTAGACTATGAAACCTTTATGCTGTGTTTTGATATTGTTGAGGAACCTTCAAGGAACTTAAGCTATGGATCCCATCAAAGAACGATATTTGATTCAAATACTTCCAATAAGCTTGGAAGGCCTAGAAAGGTAACCATATTTCAAGAATTTGTAATGGTCCTTATGAAACTGAGACTTGGACTTTTTAATAGAGACTTGGCTTATCGCTTCAATATTTCTTCTTATGTTGTTTCTGAGATATTTAGAGCATGGATCAGGTTTTTAAGAAGTGAACTGCAAGTACTGACTCAGTTACCCCCAAAGGATGTAATCAAGCTACACATGCCCTCCTTCTTTAAGGAATTTTATCCAAGAACAACAATCATAATTGATTGCACTGAAATTGAGATGAAATGACCCTCTGCCTTAAACAATCAGTCAGCATGCTATTCCTCCTACAAATCAAGGACAACAATGAAGGCTTTGGTGGGAATAACTCCAAGTGGTGCCACAGCATTTATTAGTGAGCTATACCTTGGCAGTATTTCTGACAAGAAAATAACTGTGAAAAGTGGACTTCTTAACCACCTTCAGCAGGATGTTGAAGTCATGGCAGACAAGGGGTTTTTAATTCAGGATGAACTGGCCTCTGTAGGGGCTGTCTTAACAATGCCAGCATTTCTGAAGGAGAGAAAACAATTTCAATTTTCTAAGGAAGAAGCTGCAAAGAACAAGAAAGTTGCCTGTCTCAGAGTTCATGTAGAGAGATGCATGGAGAGAATAAAGAATTGGCATATTTTGGATTCTAAGATTCCAATCTCTTTAGCACCATTTGCATCAGACATATTTATAGCAATTGCAGCCCTGACAAATTTTCAACCACCATTAATTTCATAAGTTTCTCATTTTAATTTATTTCAAGTACTTTTTAAAGTGTTATGAAGCGTCTAGTTAAATAATTCAATAAATACTTAAGTATACCATTACAAGTTTTGGAATTTAAAGTTTTATATTATATTGCTTTTTCTTTTGAGTAAAAAATGTGTGATTAATACACGACTATAAAAAAGATTGCAATAGAGTCAAGACAATAAACCCATAAAATAGATATTAGGACTAATTCCATTGTTTTCTTTTGTATCTATTTGAATATTACACCTTGACTATGAAATTTTGTTTCACCAGTTTAGTGCCTTCACTCTAGCTTCACTTTACTTAACCCATAAATAGTCAGAAATATTACAGTCATTTCAATTAACCTGGGTGCTTACTAATAAGCTGTTAAGTTCATTTGTATGTTATAGCGCATGCACTCATTGGGGTCTTGACAAAGTGCAAGCCAGCGAGCCATGCGAGCCATGTGAGCCAGTGAGTCAACCATGCGAGGTATGTGAGTCATGCAAGGGGTAACACTTCCGGTAACACAACGAGGCGTTCTTGTTCAACATGAGCTTCTTCATCGCGGACACTTCTTATTTTGAGTTCTTCAATATCTTCATCAACCTTTTCCATCGCTGCATAGAGGTAAGTTTTTTTCATGGAATTTGTTTTAATATGCCGCTAAAATGATATTGTTGATGTAATGTTTTATTTATGAGAATCATGCATGCATATAATTTACATGTATTTCCATACATTTTTAGATGGCAGATCAACGTTTACAATGCCTTCTGGAGACAAGTAAGGCGGGCTTCACGCTTCGTTATCATCCCCCGGCCTCGAGAAACTGATGTTTTTATCGCTGCGTAGCGAAATGTTTGAACTTGTTGGAGGACGACGTCATTGAAATGGTGGAATCCTACTTGATGGAGAATCAAGAGATGCCATGTGACAACAAGGTGAGTTTATTTTTAAGCTAAAGTATGGCGTCCTTATTCTCTCCTGAAAACCTTAACGTGATCATTGTTCTTATTGTTTTGTCTGTGATCGAAAAAATGTGTATATTTTTTATTTGTATAATATTTAGTACGGATTCAGTGTGGATTTTTCTTTCCTGTATGCATTCTGTGTAATTCAAACATGCGGTCAGGGATTAAAATACTGAATAAGAGTGTAAGGATTAATGTGGATTTCGGAGTCCTGATGGTCCTGAAAAATTAACACGAGTACTGAATTGTTCTGAAACTGCTTTTTTGTGCATTTTTTTCAGTACTATAAATGTTTATTATACCGGGGTCACTTGTATTGATCTGTTTTCAGAGCAGGCAAATACTAAGTTGAAATTTTGTTGTTTTGTTCTCGACATTTCATTGGCTGAAGAAAAAATGTTGAAATCTATTGCTTCCGTTTTGCTTCATGACTGATTAACTTTGCCTGGGTGACCAATTACATGCCCCCCTATACCTACCCCCCAGGGTAGAAACACTGTGCATTGGGATTATTTCAGTGTTAATACAGGTGATGTGTTACAGTCAAATGCCCTTGAGCATTGGCACCCAACTAAGTTTTTGACATCTTTTTGACAAGTTTTTGATCCGGTTTGAAACGGGCCAATCAGACTTTCAGAACAAGTGTGAACACGTTATAAGAAACATTGCATGTTTGTTTGTCAAATTTCAAAGTTGGAAGTGGACAGGAGTTTGCAAGAATGCTCACAAGAGCGTATTGGTTATAAATAAATTTTTTTCCTGCCCAAATTTTGGTAAAATTTAACTTTTTTCTTGGCAAAAGATTTTTCCAGAATTCTGTTGTACTTAAACTTTTGATTTCAAGCCTTCTGCATTTAATACACGAATGAAATTGAACGAAACTGGTCAAAAAGATGTCAAAAACTTAGTGGGGTGGTGATGCTTGAGCACATTTGACTGTAATGCATTTATTTTGAACTTGGCATCATGTACCTGGCGTTTATTTGACACCCAAAGCTTGCTTGACCTGACTTTATTTATGAAGCAATGTTTTTTTTTTTCATTAATTTTTAGATATAAATCATTCTGTCATACCTGCAGCTCATTATACGTCTAATAAATACTTCAGCGGTTTATTGAAGACTCCACCTTGGAGACCTGGTGTTTATTCAAAGCCTGGTGTTTAATCGGTGAAATACAGTATTTGATTTTATTTGATGCTAAATTGTTGTGTTTGTCCAGGATAGAACACTGCAAAACCAGGATCTCCTGCAGTTTTTGTCGGACGCTGATTTTCCCCAGATTGGAAAACAGCCAAGTCCTTGGCAAGACTGTGTGAAAGCATTAAAGGACAAAATGACAAATCACGAGGTTATCAGAGCAATGGCAACAATATTCTCTCTAAATATCAATGTGATTGATTGGAATGGTGTAAGTGGTTTACTTTCCTTTATCACATATTTTGTACTTTCCCTTAAATCAAGAACTAGGTAATAGTATTGATTATCAATGGACAGTTCAAACATTCATTAAAGACTCTTTTATTTTATATCTTAGAGAATGACTTCTGTAAAACCCTTCAGTGGCTCTGTTGGAAATCAAGATATTCATCTGGCCTATACAGGTTCTCATTATATGCTGCTTACAACCAAAGCGAGCATTAGTGCAGGTAAGATATGTTTTATAAATTAGGACAGTTATAGCTTGCTGCTCATGACTTACTTAATTAGTAAATGCATCAATCAAGCAATCAATCGATGATTAATCAATCATTCAGTCTGCTATTGATCCATCAGTGATTAATCAATTAATCAATCAATCGGTTATCCATCACTCAATTTTTTATCACTCAATTTATCAATCAATCCAACAGCCAACAAACCAGGTTGATCGGCAGTCATGTATTTTGTCATCATGCTAATGAGTCTGTGGTGGGTAGGTGTTCATTTGCTGACTTGGTCAGTAAAATAATTATTAAAGATTAAATGAAGGAAGCATTTCAATCTAAAGCTGTGTTTATTTGCAGTCAAATCCCCTGAGAGGCATAAGGGAGCCAAACCTTTTTTTCATTCTGGTCCAGAGGAATATAATCCTGGAATTAGTATTTTCAAGGGAAAGCCTTTGAAGGTAAGATCACTTGTTTTGCATTTCATTTGCTGTTTTGTACGAATACAGTAAACATCAGCATGTAAGAAATTCTGACTAGTGGTAACATTTTAACCAAGGAGATTGACTTTGAGATTG